CCAATTTGTGGCACTCAATGAGGTTATGCTTAGGGTAGAAATATTTTTATAATATCCCTATTCTACTGACAATTGCCAAATTTACAGTCAAATAAAATTTTGATTCCCAGATTACAAATTAGAATTCCCAAGTTAGGAATTCTATCAAATTATGGACAGAGATAACAGTCTCAATTCATGAGAACATTACCTAGCATTTCAGAAGACTGCTTTTCTAAGTCTGCTGTTTGGAATTCAGAATGCATTTTCTCATAGAAAGTATATGACACCCAGTAATCAGGTTTTTAGATCAGCCTACAAAAGCCAACTTCACTCAAATGTACCTGAAAATATAGAATAACAGTGTTCAGAGTGTTTAACTGCTACGAGTAAAAAGCTACCTTGGAATTATGGCCCTCTCCTACCTTCCTGTCTCTTCTCTCAGATGCCTCTGTGACTGGCTTGTGTCTATTATTTTAATCCCTCACCAACATGCTTCATTTTATGTTCCCAGATCCCAGACCACAGAATTCAGACCACAACTTATTCCTTAATTCCTACCCCTTAAATGTTCTTTGACATTTTTTACTGCTAGAAAAACCTCTGGAAGCAAAGAAAGAAATAAAAAAGCAAATAGAAGAAAATCATAAAATCACAAGAAATCTTTAAAGCAAGTGAGTCTGTTTTCACTAAAAGGCACCCAGGGTCACAGGGGAGTTTTCTATGCTCCTACTTTTATTAAAATGTTCTTCTCTAGAGCCCTGCTCAATCCTTGAAGACTTTAAATCCTAGGCTGGCACTTGTTTCTTCCCTTCCATTGGGAAAGGTTGACGTTTCATTCCTTGTCACGTTTCCTTTCATTTCTCGCTTCTATCCTCAATGGAAAGTAAGGGGACAAGTTGATAACAAGTCTCCAGGTATGCGCAGAACTGAAACAAGAAAGAGATGGAGGGGCTGGGAATTTAGCTCAGCGGCACAGCACCTGCCTGGCAAGTGCAAGGTCATGAGTTCAATTCCCGGTACCAGGAAAAAAAAAAGAAAGAGATGGAGCCTAATCTATATCTTAGTTACACACAGGTTAGAGACCACATATAAATGTTTTGGAACAAAGAAATACTGTCATACATGGAGACCAAGACAAGTTCCCAGAAATGAGAAAATCTACTTTATAAATATCATAATGTAATTTTCCTTGTTCCTTAAGGCTTATCTTATCTTCCCAATAATTACACTGAAGATGCATCCTAAATTATCTCTGTATCGCAAACACTGACCTGAGTATACCACAAATAGGTACAACCTAGGATATCAAAAAGCTACCTCTAATTTGAAGAAATGAATTTGCCTACATGAAATCAATTTCTATTTATTCTCAGTGATGAAAATTATACATGCAAAAGGGATGACACTCTTAAAAACCCAAGGAGGAGCCAGGCGTGATGGTGCAAGCTAGTGATCCCAGCACTTGGGAAGCTGAGGCTGGAGGACCGCTGCCAGTTACAGGCCTGGCTGGGCTACACAGTGAATTCAAGGCCAATCTGAACTACACAGTGAGACTATCTCAAAAAACAAAAAACAAAGAAAAAAAATCCAATGAAGAGGATGATAAATGGCTCTGAATGCCAAAAGGAACCTAAAAGTCAAATACACTCAAATAATTCTTAGGCAAAGGAATGAACAGTTGACTCTATACACTTCAAAGAATAAATGTTTTATTAAAGAAAGTAAAATACTTGTAAGAAAGTAAGATTGCACCATTCTGTCAAATAAATCTTTAAGTACTTTACAAGCTGAAAATTAAAATGAACTGCAATATTTAGATACAAATTATTAAACTACCATTTGCATGACTGAAACTAAGAAGAACCCCAACCTTAAATGAGCAATGTAAAAATGCATCCCAAAATAACTTGCGCTAACTAACCTGATATCAGAGAGCTGTCAACTTGTAAACAAGTAAAAATTACCCAACATACCCACTAGCATTTTACATACACTGGCCCTGGTTCTACCACTTAGTGTGTAACCTTGGGCAAATTTAACCTCTCCGGATCTCAATTTCTGTACTAGTAAAACAAAACTAAAAATGATACCTACTTGAGTATAATTATTAGAATTAAATGACAAGGCAAACTCTTTTGAGCAGCTCCGGGGACAGCTAGATGTCCAATAAAGGACAGCTACTAGTATGGTCTTCACACCAATACGTAAGTTGCTTAAAGTTACTCCCATGGCATACTACCTTTGAAACCTTCACAACTTCTGGGACAGTGCTGAATACCCACTGGGTACTCAATATTTATCGACTGAGGACTAATGGGCTGTATGGGATCTAGAACTTTGAAGCTGCATGTTATTCAATCTTTAATTTAACATGTGCAGGAACAAAGCAATTGAGCAATTCTAATTACTATTATGTTCCTTTTTGAAGATTTCATTGTATTAATTACTGCCTCTTAAAAGTGTTTCTGAAAGGCTGAATTCACTAGAGGGCATCATGTATCAGGAGAAATCATATCAGAAATAACCATTAAAAGGAAAGAAACATCCAACATTTATTCCAACAGAGATATTGTGCCCAGTTGTGTAAAACATGTATGTTAATTTAAAAATGATTCAATTTAACATACATTAAAATATTCAGGAGGAATTAAAATGAAGACTCTGAATGAGTTAGGTCATAAAACATTAACATTATATTTATATGTCCTGGTATATGGGTAAGTAATTCAGACTACTATAACGTCTGATTTCTTTCCAATCCTACTATAGAGCCCCCCAACAATTTTATGCAATTTTAATGTTTATAAAAGCAAAGCCGTGCCTCATTTCTCTGAGCACCTGCATTCTACTCAAGTGCATCCTATATCTCCACCTGTAGTAAACCTTCTCAAGTGTCTTTAAAAAAATGTATAGTGGTAATGATTTGTGTGCATTTTATTAATCTGATGAACTATCTATGATAGTTTCTCCTATATTATTAAAATATATATTACTTTATACAATGATAAGAGTACTGAAAACTATAGTAAAGTTATACTTACTAAAAAAAAAAGCAAACCACACAAGCCAGGCATGGTGGCACAGACCTATAATCCCAGGACTCTGGGAGGCTGAAGCAGGGGGATTCCAAGTTCAAGTTCAGGCTGGGCAACTTAGTGGGACTCTGTCTCAAAATTAAAATATAAGAGCTGGGGATGTAGCTTTGTGTGGAGTCCCTGGGTTCAATACCCAGCACCTCAGGAAAAATAAAAAGCATACCAAATTAGATGGTATTTGTTACTGTTCCTTGTAGCCAGATTCCAAGTCACCACCAGTTATCAAAAAAAAAAAGAGACCATGCCAAGAAAAAATTACCAGCTTCTGTAAGACTAAAATTAATTATTTAAAACCAAATTATTTTAAAACATCTGTTCATTAATAAGGCAACATTTCAAACATAAAAGTTTATCAGGCTTTGAGAGGGTCCAAAAGAAGTATACTCAAAAAACCTCTAGCTCCCACTCACTATAATTCACAGTAACATGTAGAGAAAAATATGACAGAAAACCTGATATTTATAGTACCTTCATACAGTATCCACTTAGAAGGAAGGGTCCCTAACCACTATAAAAGAAACCAGGGATAAAGGCTCAGGAATATCCATCTTTTGCTGAACCCCTTGACCCCTCTCCAGGGCAGCCTGTTTCTGTCTGCTTTTTCCTCCTTATAAATGAAATGTCTTCCTTTCTTAAACTCCATCCCTCTAATTCATTATTGGTACTGCATTTTCCATCCCAGTAGCTGCTCACCTAGGATGTGACACGTACCCCTGAAGAACAATCAAATGGGAGAAAAAGAGCAGGCAAAATCAGAGGAAGGGCACAGGAACAGAACTTCCACACTCTCGTCTCAAGAACTACCTGTGTCAGTCTCCTACCACATACATGTTCACCAATGTTTCATGCTGTTTATATGGAGTTTCATTACCTAAACATGACTGATTAAACCACTGGCCACATGACTGACTGAACTCAATCTCCAAACCCTCTCCTGTTCTCAGAGACCAGGAGGTGGGGCTGAAAGTTCTAGCCATCTAATTCTGGTCTTTCTGAGGTTGCTGTCCTCTCCACTGCAACTAAAAGCCCACCCAGATATATTCTTTATTATGCCACATTAACAATAAATAGAAGTTTGGGGCTGGGGATTTAGCTCAGAGGCACATTGCCTGCCTGGCAAGCGTAAGGTCATGAGTTCAATTCCTGATACCAGAAAAAAAAAAAACCAATAAATAGAAGTTTTAATTTTAGAAACTGACTATTGAGATAATGCAAGTAAAAGACAAAGGAAAAAAATACTATAAAAGAAGCAACAGGAAAAAAGGCTGGGGGCAGAGTGTCAAAACTGTATACATGTTCAAGCTTAGACAATTAAATACAGATATATCCTGGCAAGAAACGGAGTATGACATTGAGAATGACTTTAGTTTCAGTGAAGTTGAAGCTGAATGGGACAACTAGCGGAAGGGACACTGGACAGATGGGACCATGAGACCTGAGATGTGAAAGGACAGGGCTAAGATCAGTTATCAGATCTATACAGATAATTTCCCCATCAAAAAGCTCTTACTGCTCCAAGATACCAGCTAATGGTTGTCAAGTAGGCTGGAATGTACTCTCCAAGACTCAAGTGCTGCATGTTACTCTACGCAGCATGTATGTATGTTCTGAACTTTGAGATACATTCCATCTAATGTTTTGGACTCTAAACAAAATGGTATCCAATTTCCACATGTGAAGATTCAAAAAGAATCATGTTTTGTCCTGTAACAGAAATACATCATTTTATTTTCTATCAATAGGAAGCTTACAATATGTGTAACAAAACTATAGTACATGTTTACTTTTCAATGTAAAGATTATGGAAGAAACAGAAAACTTCAATACAACATAAATAGGAACACCTATAATTTCAAAAAGCTTAGTGTCCAGATACATGAAGGAAGATAAAAATATCAAGCATGGAAACCATTACAGACTTACCTTTGGCTTTCAGGGTCCTGTTTTACAAAGTATGTTCTGTAGCCAGAAACTACCTTACTACTTGCTCTTTGGGTTCAGAAGCATCAGTTTATCTTTCCATGGAACACACATATTATCTCATCCTTTTGTTGCCAGCTTCCCAGAAGAAAGTCCCCACTCAAGCCTTTCAGAACCTGTAAACATGACAAGCAGAAGTGAAAAAAGAAAGAAAGAAAGAAAGAAAGAAAGAAAGCAAGCAAGCAAGCAGAGTTGGGGACCGTGCACTAGGCTAATCAGACAGTTCATGGAGTCAGCAGGTTATATTGAGCCTGTGGAACTCAAACACTCAAGCACTACCGATGGGATTAATGTCAGGCAACCCAGGAGGCTGGAGGACTGTGCTACTTTAGTGCTTAAAATGAGAATGCCAGATGTGCTGACACTGGAACCCAATCAGTATGTGTCCACCCTACAGGCTGCAGGAAGAGAGGGACATTGAAACTGTTCTGCCTGACAGCAATACCCTTCTATAGAATTTAAACAGGAAAGACAAAATCTGAGCCTAGATCCTTTTTTTGTTGTTGTTTTGTTTTTTTGTTTTTTTTCCGGTACCGGGGATCGAACTCACAACCTTGCGCTTGCCGGGCAGGCGCTGTGCCACTGAGCTAAATCCCCAGCCCTTGAGCCTAGATCCTAACCAGAGGAAAAATGGGTAAGAGAAAGCTCCCCTCCTGACACTTTGAACACACACGTGATCAAAGAAAAATTCTGAGATGTCCTAAATTTAATGACAAGGACTGGAGGATGGAGCGGGAAAGAGATAAGGGAAGTTAATCAATTAACAGGTAAAACCAATAAAACTTTCACATTTTCATTTCATAGACTGAAATTTTGACATAAATCCTACAATAAACTGTTCAAATTCTTTGGATTTTTATCACCAACCAATCCATAATCAACAATTACTTCTCCTTGGACTCTGACCATCTATCCCAAAGCTTTCCCAGTTTTGCACAATTACACCCCTCTTATCTACAGCAAAAAGTTTCTATGTAAATAGCGTATGCCTTTCTTCCCCAAATTTTCCTTATTAAAAGATGCCCTAGCTCTGGTTGGGAAGGCATATTTCCAACTACTACCTAGACCTACAGTTGGCAGTTACTGTAACTTATCCCAGAACCTGATCTTTTTTCTGGATACCATCTGTAATGACTCAATAAACCCTTTTTTATTTCAGAAATCTTTCCATTTCGAGAGTTTTGGTTTATGTGTTCAATTTGCAACACAGGTAGCCAAAGACTCCCACAGAAAAAACACAAGCATGACCACACTCTACCTACTTCCTAGATACTGATTCTAATGCCAAATTACAAAGACTATTTTATTTTATATAAAATTTTAAATATGTTTTAAGCTGGCCAACTACTGCCTTTGTTTATATTTGTACTTGATTTGCTTACATCAAAATGAATGTTACTCAAGAATAAATATGGTACCTATCTATGTGTAAATTTACAGTTTATATCAGGCATACTCAATCCACTGCCCTTGGACTGCATGTGGCCCTGAAGACCTAGTAATATGGCCCTACAAGGTTATAAACTTTTTAACATCATTATATGATTTTTAGCAATATTTTACATAGCTAGATTGTAAGGTGCTGGAACACAGGCTACACAGGTAACAACAAAATGCTATGTTGGAACAGCCTAACTCCACCTCCTGCACTTGCCACACAGCTAAGCTGAAACCAAAGTTATCAGATTACATGCACTTTGTGCTACTTGGATGAGAAAAATGCAGTGATTACCAACAGTATTTCAACCTACCCACATGGACATGTGCCTGTGAAGACAACTGTTTCCTGTTATTAATCAGACATGTAAGTTTTCTTATTTAATTATTAAACTTTAACTTGTGCTATTTCATAAAATAGTAGTTGAAATATTTTTAGCGGCTGTGCTATAATACAAAAATGGATCAAATAGTTTTTGCTTATGACATTGTTACAATTACATATATAATCTTAATGCTAAAAATGTTAAAAATATAAAAAATAAAGGAAATTTGTTACTTTATGCATTAACTATATTATGTATTTTGTATGTAGCCCAAGACAATTCCTCTTTACCTAACAGAGCCTATGCAAGCCAAATGGCTGGAAACCCATGATTTACATAATAGAGTTTGCATTGAGGCGCATTTTCATTGACGTAGCGTAAGAGTAGCTGGAAATGCCCTGTCTTGTATCACTCCCCAACTCACTGAGATCAAAACCCACAGCAGTCCATGATCTTCTCCCGGGTCACTGCAATTTGGCCAAGGTCTTCCCTTGGATCACTACTGATTTCTGGGGAACTTAAATTACCTCAGCATCTAATGATTCCCTCCTTTACCTCAATGCATTCATTTTTCTTTTTTCCTGGCAATGCTAGGAATTGAATCCAGGGCCATGGCCATGGCAGGTGCATTATCACTGAACTACATCCACAGCCCTGACTCACCAGTTCTATCCCAATCCCATTACCATCACCATCCTCTTCCCAAAAAACAACAAATCCCAAGTAAAACACTTCTAATTACTGGGAGTTAAAGGGAAAGGTCAATTTAAATAAAACATCCTTATGCCATCTTTCCAGCCCCTAAAACTCTTAAGTGGTTGTTCCTAAGTTAAGCAAAATGCAGTCCTTTGGGGTTCCTATTCCTGAGGAACATGCCCAAATCTATCAAGGTGCTTAGCAGCTCTAAAGCCTTCCATCTATGAAGACCTACTCTCCACATTTTTTAAAGCAAAAGATAGTAACAATTCACTTGTCACATTTCAAACCCTAAAGTTCTTTCTCAGTAAAAATCCAAGCAGAGCTGTCTTGTCATCTGTTTACTGAACTGAATCACCATGCTATTGTTGTAAATAACTGAAAAACACATTGAAGTCCACATTGCCATTTCTCAAAGCAGCAAAGTCACTGTGAATCAAGAGATTAGGGCATAGCAAAACTGGCTGGGGAAGTAGCTATGACCTGTTAATTACAAAACTCTAGGACATGTGCAGAACAGTTCCCAAAACCCTGCATGCAGAGAACTCAAACAAGTTTTCCATAGAATGGCTTAGGCCTGACAGCAGCCTGAGGAGTGGGTGATACAAAAAAGAGACACCTCACTGAGTTTTTCCCACTGTGTTCTCTTGCATGGTTTGCCTGCCCTCACGCTGTAGGGTGGATTTCTTTACCTACTTTTACTTGGCTCAAACTTGCTCTGCAAATTTCCTACTTTTAATAAAACTTTGCTATACCATTTGTGCTTGTCTTGACCAATTCTTTGCTTAGGACAGAAAGAATCTAGAAACCACCTCCAAAGGAAGACACCAGCACCCCAAAACCCAGTAACAAATACATATTAAAAATATCCTCCCCTGAGCAGCTGGGTATGGCAGTGCACACTGTAATCCCAGCACTGGGGAGGCTGAGGCAGGAAGACTGCCACCACTTCTGAGGCTAGCCTGGGCTACATAACAAAACCCTGTCTCAAAAAAAAAAAAAGGAAAATAAAAGATTATCCTCCCCTCCAAAAACAACTGTCAGCTACTTCCTTCCATTCTTTCCAATTATAGTCAGTGAAATGTATGACCTAACAGAAGTAAAATAACTTTTGATTTTTTGGATTTAAGACTAAGAAGCTAAGTTTCAAGAAAGTAAAAGTAGTTGGACAGTACTACTATTATCAAGAACATCAATAAATAAATACCTTCTACTTAAATGACACCTTATTAAAAGATAACATTTAAATAAGGGTTTCTTTATGTCATTTAATATTTGTAACTGGATAAAGATAACTGATTAGAAAGTTATTTTATACTAAAATGGGAAGGTAAATATATCTGTAGAGATAAAACTAGTTCAAATAGAATGTCATCATAATTGTTAAGCTAAATGCTATGTTTGCTCTTGATTTTTAAATTTTCCTAGTAAAACTTCATAGCTCTTATCTGTTAACATCCTACATTCTGAGACAGCCATGACTGGTAAAAGAAAGAAGAGTAGTTCTCTCGCTGTATTTTATATTTTAAAGTACTTGATATCCAAATGAGATTATGACAGTTAAACCTACTGCTCCTACTAGTGTAACTGATCTTATGGGTGTTTAACAACTAAGGCAGGTAACTGGGCTAAGAGAACAACCAGTATTTTGGTCCTGGCCCTTCAAGGTCAACAAGGACTTTAGGCATGAAAGGACGTCTCTAAAGGAGCCTACCACCCCAGAGAGTCACCCAACCTCATGAGCAGGGAGACTGATGGACCACAGGGCAGAGGAGTCAACCACTGTGCACTGTGCTAAAACAAGAAAGAGGAAAATGTTCCCATGTTTCCAAGAGAAGCCAGGAGGTCAAGGAAAAGACAGTGACCCACCCTGGCAGAAGGCCCAAATGGTACAGGAAAAAGTAGAAGGCTCTACGCATGGCCCTAGAAGTAATACCTGAAGAGCCTGAACTGGCCTTGATATATATATAAATTTTGAGTAACAGTCTCACTTTAACTTGGTCTTAAACACCCAGCAGAAAAGTATAACCAAAATTGTATAGATATAGCAAGAAATAGTATTATTAAATTAAAAATTTGGCTAAATATAAAAAGGGAGCAATTCTGCCAACCAACACCCCTTCTTTTGGGGAAAAAGCATACTCATGATAAATAGAGGATAGATTCCTACTCAAGGCTTAAGTATTCTATTGTGTTAAGAGATACTGACTTGTTTGCTATTGGCTGGAAGCCAAAAGCTGGGATAAGACGGGACAGCCCTGAACAATACCCAGTATCCATGGGTCCAAGGACCTAGGTTTAAATTATATATCAACCAGCCAACCTCCTAGTCTGTGGCATCAATGGACCATATCAGGTTTTCATTGGTATGATCATTTGCCCACTATCTTTATTCCCCAAATAAGTCTTGAGGATATAATGGAGTACACTGAATCTCTTACTAACTATACACAAAAAAGTATATTATTACTATAGTCAAAAGGAAAAAAGATGAGAAAAGCCATTCTATAAAACTAAACAACCCTAGATATTCTAACACCACCACAAGGTGGAACCTGTGCCATTATCAAAACAGAATGTTGCATGTGTACATTCCTGACAACTCTGCAAATGTGTCTTCTGTATTACAAGATCTACATTCACAAATGGATACACAA